AGTATTTGAATCAGGTCCACTTAGCAATTACGTCAGCGCTCATCGACATACTAACATATATTGATGAATTACAAAACTCTTAACAAGAGCACAGACAAGACTGAAGCTTTGTACTGTGGAGCAGCTGCGAATCGGTGCATTTTTACTCGGACAGCTCCGAACTTGAAACACATGTGGCGGTGATTTGTTTTCGGCATTCCAAGCTTAGGAATGCCCATGAGATTGATCAAGAGTAATTAACACTTATAATTTTCAGTTTACTTTGACATCTCAGAAACTGTCAAGTCAATGAGATGGCTTTTCCTCCTACCTATCAGAAGACATAATATTATTAGAGATAGGAATTCCCACTTCCTTGTACAAAAGTCTTGCCGTACACATATACAATTAATGTACATACAGAAAATATCTGACACCTAGAATAAACTAGTCACATATCAAAACAACTACGGCCGAAACTTTGTTACAAGAGAACTATCACCTACCTAAGTTTAACAAGGAATAATCTTAATCTACTTACGTTCGTAATGACAGGTCATGACTAATAGGCTTGTATAGTTATAAATTTAACGCCGCCAGCAGAGACCCCTGCAGAAGTTGTCAGGATGAGGGCATATTAACAGTTAACTTGTTAAAAAATATCTACTTTGAAGAATTTGGAGAGCTAGTCATGGTCGATATAACAAATCTGTCTAGACTTATCATGAAAACCTGATAAGCTAAATTAAAAGGCTTAGCATTCAAGAGTGTCACAACTTGTTCTAGCAATTGCATTCTCAGTTTGTATATGCGATCTTTCTGTCACAGTTTATCGAAAGACATATTGAGAAATGTCTAAGAGCAGTGCGAAGAACACTTCTTTCTTTTTCAATTCATTTGCATTTATTTTTAAAACTCGAATAACATGCTCAATTGTCGAGTACTTAAATTGAATCCATATTCATGATTTGGTATCTAAGTTTTTGTTTAGATTATTTTTGCAGTGCTTTATAAATATTTTTGCATACGTCTGTATGTGGTAACATATATGGATTTGCCAGGTTTAGCTACTATTTTTACTTCTGCCTTCATCCAGAAACTGAGTACTTATTTCAATTTGAAAAATGTGTTAATAAGCCACCCAATAATCAACCAACATTTGCCGCTTCAAGTTTTTTGTTGCCTTTCATGAAGAGTAGTTTAAATTTTTATTGTGCGATAAGTTTGTTATGCAACGTTTTGGAAGAGTAAATTTTTAGAATTAAATTTTTCAAGTTTTACTGAGTGGAGATTCATCCATTTGCCATTTCGTCTAAGTTTGTCAAGTTCATCTAAGTTTGTCAAGTTCGGCTAAGTTTATCGATCACCAACAGTCTGATTTCATTATGATATTCGTTTATGATAATATCGTGCTCCATTGAAATTTAATTAATTATTGATTTAGGTTTTCAATCAGTTTGTTGGTTGATCAGGAAATATTTTTGTTCTTTATCAAGTAAATTGGGATCAGCATCTAACTCAATGCCCTCTTTGATTTTTATACAAATTTTAGAATTTAAGTTTTTGTCAGAATCAAGTAATTTCCATTCTGTCTGTCTTCTTGTTCATTTACCTTCTCTAAATTCTGAAGTAGAAGAAATTTAACGAATTGAGTGTAGGATTAGGACTTAAATTAAGTTTCCAATCATGAATCGGATCAATTTAATTTATAGTAAGAAATCTTACTAGTGTGTATCTTACAAATTTTTTATTCAGTTCATATATTCGTTTTAATAATAAATTAAAAAAAAATTAAATTAAATTTTAACTACATAACACAACAAAACATTATTCATTTTTAATAAGGATATAAAAGAAGTAACGAAAAATGTAATAATATTTTACTTCACACATTAATTTCTTCCCTAAAAGTAACGTCTGGGTTAAAAAAAAGCACAAATAACTCATTTTTTTTAAAAGATTATTATATTACTTGTAATTACTAGCAACAGTTTAAGTTAAACTTTCAACCTTAAATTAATGTTACATTTACTTGCGAATAATTCAGAAATATATTTAAAATATTCGTATTTACATATTCTTCAGTATATTTGATATAAATTTATTCATAACTTAAATCCTGAATGAATACTTACAATTCCAAACGTTAAATTTTCATATGATACTAAATCAAAACCAGCTCTTTGAATCATAGCTTGAAAATCTTCTTGTTTTGGAAATTTACGAATACTCTCTATCAAATACTGATACGGCTGCCATTGCCCTGCAAGTATCTGCCCCATAGGTGGTATAACTTGGAAGGAATACTGATCGTAAATCCATTGCATTACATCGTTATTCAACTGACTAAACTCTAAGCACAAAAAACGGCCCCCAGGTTGCAGAACACGATAAGCTTCTTGTAATACCTAAATTTAAAACACTTTTTTTAGAATTAAACACATTTATATACTTTTTACCTTATCTATATGTGTACAGTTTCGTATACCAAATGCTATTGTATACGCATCGAAACTACTATCTGGAAACATTAATTTTTCAGCGTCAGCACGTTGCCATTCAATAGATACGTTTGATAGGTTTTCTTGAGATATTTCCAATTGCTTTACACGTTCTTTACCTACATCCAGCATATGTTGATTTATATCGGACACAGTTACATGACTTTGACGTTTTTGTGGATTTGATTGATTTGCTAAACATTTTAAGTAGCGGAATGAAATATCTCCTGTACCCCCAGCCATATCCAACAATTTTGTTCCGTGTGTAGGGCCTAACCGTTCAATTAATATGTCTTTCCATATTCGATGTATGCCCCATGACATTACATCATTCATAAGGTCATAGGATTTTGCTACTTCTTCAAAAACTCTATGAACTATAAATTGTTACTTAATAAATTCAAATTTTAAGTAAATTCTGTAATTACCTTTTTGTTCCTTCTCACTTGTTTTAACGGTTTGAAAACCGAAATGCGTTGTGTCACTGTTAGTACTTGGATTATCTTTTGTATTACTGTCGCCTTGTGCAATATAACTTCTTTGAAAACCAATGCTTAAATCTATGTATTGTTTAAATTTATTAATTCTGCTTCCAAGGATTTTTAATCGAAAGTTCTGTGTAAGAGCCATATTTCCACGAACCAAACCGATAAATTACAATACTATAGAAATCTTTTATTTAAGTATCAGCTGCTTGACTGTGGTTAGGGTTGGTAAACATAAATAAAACTTTTTAGCAAAGAATACATTTCAAAGAACGAAAACTCTTCCCGCTTTAAGCGTAACGTTTTGAATACATGTGATTGATGATGCCACGATACATCAAATTCAAACAATACCTTACAAGAACGGCAACTCCATTGTGAACTAAAGTTTGTTTTTTCGAGCAACAACAATTTGCCGTGAAGCTCTTTAAGGTGTTACTGAAAAATGCACAAACAGCAGCTGCAATCATTGAAATTTTTCACCTTTTCAACTTTCTGCGATACGTCACGTATTTTTGAGAACGGAATATTTTGAAAAGTTTACAACGGCGTTTACATTGACCGAAAAAGGCTTGATTTGAATGAGACATTTGAAAGTGTTTACATTCGTTGTATTTCATTCGTTCTCATTTCAAACAACTGATTTTTCAACTTGCCTCTTGATTTGATTTTTGGCCTGTGCCAAAAAAATGTTGCATGAATATTAAATATGCCTTCAAACCTTACAATATAAACTGAAAACATATTTCTAACTTCGATTAATTACTTTTTGGGAAGTAAAAGTTCTAAAAAGATGTGCATCGTTTTCAAAAAAACGCAACCACCAAACATTTGTTTACCTTTTTTGTAAATATGTCAAAAACAGCTTTCTCAAACTGTTAAAATGCCATGAAGAGCTTTTACGTAACGCTTCCTGTTTATACACTTCTGAGTGCACTGAAACTAACTTACTATATATTTATATAGTATATATGCAGCTATAATCAAGCTGCACACAGCATCCTTTGTTTGATAAACAACGTTGCTCTCAGAGAAGTCAACTTAGATGACAAACACCACCACACTTATCTTAAGAATGCAAATCCCAGCATAATTGGCTTGGCTTAGTTAGATTTTGCTTGGCACTTTCAAATTAATTCCAGAAAAACCTTGTTGTGGTTTTAATTATAGCTCGGTGTATAACAACCGTACACATTTGTAAACTATCTGAAATTAGAAATCCTCTTTATTTAGGCAATATTTATTTATATTAAAATATGTCATTTCTTTTAAGGTGCCACATAATCGTGATCATATCATGAACCCTAATAAAATGATATCTTTACAATGTCATTTAAAATCTGAATAAAATATTCATATATTCTATACATAAACAATTTTATAATATTCATCAAACAGATGAACTAAAAATTTACAGAAAATATCTTGTGTAAATCTTGCATTAATTCTGGGAAATAATTGAGCCTATTTCATTTCATAACACTTCTTTTAATTAAACTTATCTAATATTCTTAAATACTTTAATATTTGTTAATTTATTTATAAATATATTTTATAATTATGATGTAAAATTACATAAAAATATTTCTACTAAAAATACTCATATGACGTCTAACAACGAATGCTACTAATCATACAGGAAAGTATGTAAACTAATAATATGTATCATTCACGGTTGAAATTTTCAATCCTGCTTTGTGCACATACATTTGTATTGTGTACGTTTTGTTGTTGCATTTGCATTTTGCTTACTTTATTTTCGTTGTCAAAACTAATTGCTAGAAAATAGTAATAGCAATTCAAGCCCTGTTGAAAAGCTTTAATTTTACCGAATACATGTATACAGACCAAAATCTGGTATACATACTTGAATATACACAGTGCGTTTTCGTAGCACCCATACTTGGTCTGCAACATGTAGCTTTGTCTATATCATGATTAACTGTAACATCTATGTATACAGTACAAAACTTCTTTTCAAAAATAATATGGCAACTTTATTTCAATCTATTACCTTAATGAAAGTAGATAATTTTTCAATTTGTTGTGTTTTGCAAACCACAGTTCAATGTTTAGAAATTAACAAATATTATAAAATTATTAAAAAACAATGAACGAAAATGAAGATCCATTTGGCATGATATGTCGAGCGTGTATGAGTAAAGATCAAATATTTCATTCAATTTTAGAAAGTGTAGATGGTAACAAATTGCGGATTTTTGAGATGCTTGGAACGACGACACCCCAAATATTTATTCAGATTAATGCTGCAGATAAACTACCAAAGATTATTTGTAACACGTGTTTAAATAAACTAAATATAACATATAATTTTCAACAAATGGTGATAACTTCGGAGAAGCGTATGCGATCTCTGCTTTATGTCGAGCCGAATGCAGGCTTACAAAAAATGCATTCATTGGAAGACCCTCTAGTTGAAAAAGAATTATTTCACGTATCAAACAATTCACTAAAGCAGGGAATTATAAGCGAAGATAATTATTTCGAGTTCTCAAATTTCATTAAAAAGGAGGAAGTGTCAGAAGGAAGTCATGATTTAACAAATTTCGTATCTGAATGGACTCACCAAAGGTAAACTTACCTAAATTTTCAATTTTAATATTAATATGTCTATAAATTTTTTTAGTGAAGAACATGAACAAAATATATTAAAAGTTGACAAACCAAATAAACCTCAAAGCACGGAAATTTGGAGCGCACTACCTGATGAGGAGTACAGCGAAGAAATTGAAAAGTATTTTAACTTTATAATAGTAATATTAAAAAACTATTTGCTACAATATTTTTTAGACCTGATGAACGTAATAGACGTAACGCACAACATCCTTGCTTAGAATGTGGTAAGATTTTCGACCGTCCATATCGCGTTAGGCGTCATATGGCAGTTCATTCAAAGGAACGTCAATTCGAGTGTAAAATATGCAAATATCGATTTTCAAAAGAAATTCAATTAACAGCGCATATTATATCACACAGCGATAATTTGGAATCAAGAAAACGTAGATCGCCGGAAGGATATAAGTGTCAAGATTGTCCACGCCGATTTGAAAAACATGAATCACTTTCGGCCCACCGGCAATGTCATAAGAAGATCGAAGAAACTGATAAAATGTTTCAATGTGATGTATGTCAGGAAAGATTTGAAAAGTTATCACTCCTTACCAATCATATGCAAAAGCACCCAGATTGTCCTAAGTATAAGTGCCACATATGTGATAAAATTTTCTATGTGAACGCATTGCATATTGAACATCTAAATAAACATGGAATTCAAAAAAAACATGTTTGTGTTTACTGTAATAAAGGTAAAAAATTTTTAAAATATGGTCGATTGAAGTCTTTCTATATTATACATGTTTTAAGCTTTCCTCCAAAATAGTACACTTAAAGAACATATAAGAGTACATACTGGTGAAAAACCTTATTTATGCCCTCAATGCGGAAAAGCTTTTCAAAACGGTAGTAATCTGCGTCAACACTTACTAAGACACTCTAATGAAAAAAAGTATCAATGTCCAGAATGTCCTAGTAAATTTGCGTGCCAATCAGATAGAATAAAACACATGTCTATGCACCGAAATATCAAACCTCATAAATGTGATATATGTGGCTCAAGTTTTACTCGATCTTACACTCTTGCAAAACATAAGCGCATACATTCTGGAGAGCGACCGCACAAATGTGATCAATGTAGTATGACGTATGTAGAAGTGATTCATATTTAATCCTTATTAATTATATAAATAATTTTTTAAGATTTGTGTTTATTGATCACATGAGACGACACATGCGAACTCATACCGGCGAAAAGCCCTACAAGTGCAAATTTTGTGATCGTGCTTATGCTGAAAGTGGAGATTTAAACAAACACATGAGAACACATGTAGGTGAAAAAACTTATATGTGCAACCAGTGTCCAGAAGCGTTTAAGTACCAAGCAGAATTACGAGAGCACCAAATAAGTCACTATAAAGAGAAACAAATAAATTCTGAAATTTCCATGTAATCAATTAAGAACGGAACTTTTTAATATATTCGAAAGTTTTTATTGTTGTTTATTGTCATATATGTTTTTTGCTTATATTAGATATTACCAAGGATTGATAGTCGCTGTGTGGGAGTTGTATATTAATTGCCACACCTGACACAAAAGCCTGCGCCATGTTTTTAAAAATGAGTTCCTTATAGTTTTACTAATAGAGCCCATAATCTATTAAACCATATATGATATCAATCAGCAACGTCTTCGTTGAGGTTATTATGTAAAGATGTAATTAAGGAAGGAATTGAAAATAAGATTTTATAGTGTTTCGATTTTTCTCTTTGATAAAACGCACTATAATTATAATTCACAATAAACGCTATGACGATCAGCACAATTTGCACTATAAGAACAATTTAGCAGCGTTTTTTTTAGTCATCTGTTCGCCACTAAAGCCAAGCAAAGATAAGACCTGTATCATTCTTAAGCACGCCTTAAGCAAAAATAGTTTTTGGGCTTGCAAGATTCGTGACCCAAATCAATCTCTCTTCAATAACTGGGCGGAGCGATGTCACTATAAAATTAATGATGCTGTGGAATTTTATTGACCGTCATACATTTGCAGCAAAACTAACTGGTAACCGAACTCGGTTATCGCTAAATGTTGGAAAGGATGCTTCTGGACTGTTGTGCAAGTTGAGATTTTGCTTTTGAAATTTTAGTTTCATAGTTCGTCTCTTGGTCTTCACCACCGGGATAGGCAGCTTTGACCCGATCTGTACGTATTGGTTTTTCTTTCCGTAAAATTGAGTTCAATTACCTTAAATGGTCCATCGTAAGGTGTCTTGAGGTGGTTGAATAGTAGTATGACTTAGATATACATGAAAAGATTTTTGCAGATCCGGTTGTACAAGTGTTATTGATATGGAGTGGTTTACGGTAAGTACCAGTCTTAGTTGATTCATTACGTCTTCCAGTGTTTGTACAAATTCCGAATTGGGAATGTTTTTACTCGAAATTTACGGAGTCAAGTTGGCGTTCTCTCCCCTTTGGAATATAGTGGTGAATGTACTGTTATCGCATATGCGGATGATATTGCGTTAATAGTTACCGAAAAATATGTTACCACTTTAAGAGATATCCAATCCTAGCCGCATTTCTAATGAGCTTAATGCCTACCTTGGATCTTTTTCTGACTACTACACCAAGTAGAAAATTAAGCTCAACCCGACAAGATCTCTGCTATAACCTTTCTAGGCCAGCAGCGAGATCGTCGCAGAGGCTTTGTTACCTCTAACATTAAGTTAACGCTCAACCGTTCTCCCATTCAGTTTGTTCCTAAGCTAAAATATCTTGGCATTGTCCTTTCTTCACAACATAATTTTATCCCTCACTTCGATCACGTCATTTATAACGCTTAACGTTTAGACACATTCAACTCAAAAATGCTCTTCAAACACACAACCAGTCTAGTTGCAAAGTTAAACTGCTCTGCTATAAACAACTTATTTGCTCCAACACTTATACTTGCCTACGCATTCGACATTTAGTCTGCAATCTTTTCCGCACAAATGTAAAGAATCCGCCTATTTGAGCGGAAACTTTTTCGTTATTGCACCAACTACAAGCCTGACGGCAAGCACTTCCCTATCTCTGTTCTTTATGACAATACCAAGATCACTCGTGCTGACGAGTACTTTTTGACACTCGCCCGTAGGCACTTCACCTGGATCGGCGACCTCTCCCCTGACGTCTCCATCCCTAATACCCTTCCTGATATACATCATTCAAGCCTTGCACTACAAACCCACTCAATACTTGTCCCACTACTTCAATGAGTGCGACCGTAACCTCCACACCATTCCCCTTTATAACTGCGGTTTTCGTGACCGCAGTCACAAAGTTTATCGCTACTCTCACTCGCATGTATGCGCTTTAAACCCACTCCCTTCACCATCACCTTATCTCCTTAATTCACGCCCCTGCTTTCTGGCTTAGATGAACCCAGCTAGATAGATATTAAGCCTATATGTTCACATCTCTCTCCCCTGATTACTGAAATGACGTTTCCACAATGCTGTGGAAATCTTCTCCATTCATTCGTAAGAGGTGGGTTCGAGTCTCACACAGTGGTTTTCAATGCTTTTCACCTACCGCAAAAAAGGTACAATTTTCCTGTTCGCTAGACCTTGCTGACATGCATAACATTAAATTGTTATTATAGTGCAAATTGTGAATGATTGTTATATGATTGTAAATGATTGTATTGTGAATTACAATTATAATTTATATTATCAAAGACAGAAAAAGAAACACTATATTGGTGACCCCGACACAAAAGTTCTTTTAAGAACTTTAATAAAGAAATTGTTGGAAGTTCAAGCTTGTTTGAAGCCCCTACTAAACAAACGAAGAAACAAATTAAAAAGACAATCGATTCAGTCAAGTTACAGAAACCAACAGAATATTCTTTATTATATTTAGAAACTATTCATATGATTTTGGGGTTGTCAAGTGCAACAAAAAATAAGAAATATAAAAATTAAGTTAGGGTTGTTAAAAATAAAATTATAAATGACATTAAATATAATTTGTAGTAAATATATATAAACTAATAACAATTATTTTGTTCTGCATGTGCATCAGTGCCGGGCACTCCCCTAGCACATTGTATGCAGTTCTTTCTCTTCTTTATAGTGACTTCATTTTACGTTACTAAATTATTACGCCAGTATAATGCCGAACACTGATGGAGCTAACCACGAGTCTGTAGATTAGGTAACAAAACAGTACACTTCATCAGACATTATCCAGATTTGTATTATTTATTATTATTCATACAGCACTTACAAAAATTATAGAATTTTACTTAAAATCTAAATTGACAATAACATATTTGTTGTGTGTCAGATTGGCATACAAAAGAAGGTGCATAATACTAACATTATTATTTATATAAATTCTTCAATAATTAATTTTCTGTAACTCAAAACAGTTTTCATAAATTTATACAGTTTATAAATATTGCTACCGTTTAATAAGATTTTCACTTCTTCTTCGGACAGAAATGCTTTATCAAAAAAAATACGCCTATGTTCTCTGAAAATTGGACATACACCAATAATATGGCATATATTTTATATTTCATGACGATTACACAAAGAACAATCACGATCAGATGTATTAAACTCTCTACCGTTCAGATTAAAAAGACCGCCTGTACATTTAAAAAGTAGGCTCGATATGTGCTGAGTGTTTTCGAAATAAAAATTATGCATAATGTCATATTGTAACTGTGGGTACATATCATGAGATCCCGACCTAGCATTCGTTACAAAATAATCGTGTTCCCTCCGTTCATATAAAGTTATAATATTTTTGTGCAATAGTTTAAGGTCCATTCTACTAAAACTGGTTATTGAAACACCCAGTTCTAAACACATATTTTCCCAATCTTTGGCCCAATATATACCTTTACTAATTATAAGTTCCGCTAATATTCGAGGAAGCCTTGTGGGGGGGAGATTAAGAATTTTTCTTACATATGCGAAAAGTGTTTGTATTGTGTCTAAGAACTGCGTCGGTAAACCCGTTTCTAAGTGGAGCATATAGTTGGGGGTGTTAGTGGGTAGAAATAGTATCTTTTTTATAAAAAATCTAAAAAGTTTTTCCACTTGATCATAGTGTTTGTAACCCCAAACTTGTGCACCGTAAAGTACAATCGAACGTGCTGCCGAGTAGAAAATTTTTAATTTATTTTTAAAAGTTATTTTAGGATTAGACAAATACTTTGTTTTTTTATTGTTAATTAAGTTTAAGTGTATAATAGAGGTTAGATTAAAAATATTATCAACAGTTAAGGTCTCCGGAATCCAGCTTGGTATTCATTTAATATATTATTGAGCTCAACCCAGCTATTCATACGCGAAAGTAGTATACCAGTAAATATTTTATATATAGAGTCCAGCAATGATAATCCACGATAATTAGAAACTATATTGGGATCTCATTTTTTAAACATGGGTTGAATTATCGATTTTAAAAACGAAGAAGGTATGACACTGTGAAGAAATATATAATTATATAGCGTAAGTAACTCGTTAAGGAAACCAGCAGGAGCATTTTTGTAGAACTCATAAGGAATACTGTTGTTACATGAAGCTTTATTAATTTTGGTGTTTGCAAGCACAAGCTGGAGTTCACGAAATTCAAAAGGAGAATCAAGGAAAGGATTGAGAAAAGGCGGAAGACACCAAGAGATAACTGGAAGGTCGGAATTGCATGTAAGCAGGAACTCATGGTGAATATGAAAGTCTTCACATTGTAAAGAATTAGCTACTTTGAGAGGACTGTTTTTCAAATTTTTTGCTAGATTCCACCAGTCAGAAGCATTTTTAACAGTATTAAGTGCTTCAATATTTTTTAATTGCCATTGAAGTTTTTCATTACGGCAGAGGTATGCATATCGAGATCTGAGTACAATGTAAGAAGTACGATGGGTATTCAGATTGTATTTTCGAACTAAATTAAAAATGAAACATTTTTTTTCTAAGTTCATGACACTGGCTATCAAACCATTCATTTTTTGGGTCAAAACGCTTTTTCAAAGTCTGGTTTCCCCACGCATCGCGAACTTTTTCAAGGAACATATCCAATTTAACATCAATCTGCATGTTAGAACTTATATAATCAGAACAAGTAGTCATTTCTAGCCGTTCTCTGTATCTACCTGCCAACTCTTCTTTCCAACGCATTTTTTTCGGAACTTGTACGTTATTTGGAATTACTTCCAAATTTGATGGAAAACGAAATTCAACGAAATTGTATTCTATACAAATGGAAGCGGTTTTTAGTTAAAGCGCCTAATCGAGGCACAAAAAGGATACAGCACGTATGATAGAGAATTGTTTGCCATTTACCAATCCTTATAACACTTTGTACACATGATTAAAAGTAGAAAGTGCACAATTTTGACGGACTGCAATTCAATCATTTTTACGTGGCAGCAAAATTTATCACTGAGGCATGTAAATATGATTTAACAATACTTGGTGCTTTCAAATTGTTAAAAACAGCGGCTTGGTTCACTACATATCGATATCATAGGGCCATTGCCGATGTCAAATCAATTCAGCTACTATATACCGACCATTGATTGCTTTACCAGATGGCCAGTTGCCACTCCTATGACCGATATTAATGCAAGCACAGTGGCGGCAACATTACTGAAAGGCTGGATTCCACATTACGGCGTGTCTCCCGAAATAATAATCGACCAAGGCTGACAATTGGAGTCAAAATTATTCAATAAACTCACGAGGCTA